GATTTCATCCATAAAAATAAGAAAAAATGCTGGATCAAAAAAAAATTTCCCTATTATTTATTTCCTCTGTGTAGTTTTCTCTTACTCTCTCACCTTTGTAAATATCCCACATTTGGAAACATATGATCCGTATAAACACATTTTGTATTTATAAACACTGATTGCTCGTAATTCGGTTTCTTGCAGAAATGTCCGAGAAGAATCAAGAGCCTCAACTAAAACCTACACTGCACGTCTACGTTCCCGGCAAACCGCGTAGGGACGATGTGAAGGAGGTTCACGGAGGCGACACGAAGATGGAGTGTGACGTCACTCAAGACGAAGGTGACGACGAGTTGGTGGATCCTCAGGAGAAGCTGAAGGAATGTTGCAGAAGAACTGAGGAGTGCAACAAGTTGCGGGACGTGTTGCAGCAGTGCAACGACCGCGTCAACAGCAAGACCAAGACTAACGAGACGTGCGAGATAGAACTGTACGACTACACGCATTGCGTCGACCACTGTGTCGCCAAAGTGTTGTTCCAGCACCTCAAGTAGAGGAGGTGAGATGGTTGAGGCGTGTTGTTTATACAAATAAAACCATTAAAGCAAGGCTTGAGTGTGTGATTTCCTGTCAAAATGATAATGCACTTTACTTGACGTCCTACACTCATTCGATTGGTTTTTCGATTCGATATTTTAATTCGATTATTTCATTCGATATACCGTTTGGTTAGTTAGGTTAGGTTAACCTTACCTAACTAACCAAACGATATATCGAATGAAGTAATCGATTAATCGATATATCGATCGATATTTTCATTCGAATGAGTGTAGGACGTCAAGTAAAGTGCAGCCCAAAATGGCTATGCAGTTAGCTACCCCCAACTCCATAACATGGAAGTTGTGTCAGTTCAGAAGAGGTCGAATTCATTTTAGTAAGGAAATTGATCAAATGTTAAAAAATGCTCTGAAAACACCATATACTTATATCCTATACCTCAATACTAAATATACTATACTTTAACCACAGACTATGACTGTGCTAACACAAAATAAGTCTTCCAACACACTAATCGAGAACTCAATGAAATCCAGTTTATTTCCCAGAAAGCCTAATTTAGGAGGAATGAACTGGAAGCTCGTGTCCAGATCGTTGTGGAGGATGTTTCAGTTTGTTTATTACAATGTCAACTATAACTTCCTGTTTAGAATCACTCAGTTGGGCCATAGTTACATAACTTTCGTGTGTTACATTAATAGCCTCCGTGGATCTCTGGTATTTACTGCAGACGAGACTGTAATCAATTTTATGTACATCTCACGATAGTAGGAGATAAGCTGGAGATTATAGTTCGTTGACGTCAACAGAATCAGAATGTGTTGAGTTTTAAGTCGCTGTATTCAATCCACGGCAATCAATCATTCGCTTATTACAGGTAGGTTTTCGTAAAAATGTGGGGTCATTATTTAATCATAGATTTAATAGTAGATAGTAACGCCTTCTATGTGCGTAGTTTGGACAAATGCAAGATGAGTGTAGAATCTCACTTGGACTTGTAGTGTGTTGGTTGGAATGAATTAAAAACTGTAACAATGAGGCGCATAAAACTGATTAAGTGTACTTACAGGTAACGATAACTCCCCACAATAAGTAGTGTTCTGGTCATAAGCTGTTTCATCTACAGTATTTTATTCCAGGCAAGTGTTGGACAATTGGGATTTTAGGATGACAAAGAAAGTACTTTCACAAAGAAAGTAATTTCAAACTAGTTTTACTGGTGATCTAAGATTCCAAATTATTTGTTATTTTAGCTTCTTACTTTTTTTTCTCGGCAAACAATTCTAATGCACATTTGATGCAGTCTACGAATGAGTGTGAGAAAAACCAAAACTATTAGCAGAATATCAAAATAATTAATGAAGAGGAGATTAAACTGTTGCTAAGAAACCCCTCCAAAGGGGAAAACTTGTTGGAGATTTTGTTACAACAATGATTAAGTCATCAACACATAGAATGCCTCGCAGTTAATGGTCCTTGTAACTATGTGTAGAAAGTCGACGAACCGTGCTGCAGTTTGGAGCAATTATGTTCACCAATCATTTAGCGTCAACGAACACGTTCGCTTTCTTCAACTTGATAAAGAGGTAAATTTATTCCTTCAACGCGGAGGAAGATAGATAGGCGGCGAACCAGCTTGAGCGAAAGTGTGAAAAGAGGAACGCTGATTGAGAAATTTGTGGCCAGTGTTGTACTTGACCGTAAACACTTTATCCATAATAACTTCTTACAAAAATAATAGAATAATGTGTGGCCTTCGATTTAAAAAATATTCGGCCATCCTCAGCCTAGCCTCGGAACTTCCTGATGATCCAGCCGGAACTTCCGGTCATCATGCTCCTATCGTTGGGAGGAGGTGGAAGCACTTCACGCGTACGCACACACGCACACACACACACACCTGTCATGGTTACTGAACTTTACAGGGAAGTCCTGGGTATGGACTGGTAGGTCCACGTAATGTAAAATTCTGTCTGCATCCCGAAATAAAAAGTACTTTATGATCACAGGCCATAGTGATGTCTATTCAAAACGATTAAATTTAATGTTCCTAGTACGTGTGTTTTCACTCAGAGAAAATGTCTTTGCGGAACACGATACAAGAGTTGGTGTAAAGTGGTTGGTTAAAGGTAAGAATGCAAAATACATTCTACGTATTATTTGTTATAACAGAACTCATGCTCCGCTAAAAAAAGGATAGCTTAAAAATATGTAACAATCAAATTCCAATTTAGGTAATTCCTTCTTGGATATTTAAATTACCAAGAGTTAAAGTAGAGGCAAGTGGAGGTTGGGTAGTATATGTCAAAGCAATGGCGATCATTTAACAACTATTATCAACTGTGATATTTAACCGTTCTAAAATGGCCATTCTATAAACACTGCTAATATACTTATAAACATAAAGAACCTTTAAAAAATAGTAGTTTACGCAACGATTGCGTTAAGTTGGTCTTTACGACACGAGTAGAAAATTTAAGGCACGAGCCTTGGCGAGTGCCTTAAATACTTATACGAGTGTCGTAAAGACTATTAACGCGAGTTGCGTACACTACTTTACCTACGACAGTTTTTTAATTACTAACAATCTGGTTTTTAATTACTAAAACTCACTACTCATAACTTCTTAGAGAGGTTATGTTTTCGTTTATTGTCAGTGCCAATGAAAGGAAAGATATGCAACGACTTTTTGTATAATCAGCTGATTTCCTGTAATTACGTGTTTGTAAAACTTCGTTAAAAAAATACGTTACCTTTTTCAGGGAATGTGTTCTGCTAGCAGCATTCTTACCATAAATACTGCATCAAGAACAATTAGGGAAATTTTTCATTTTGTTTTTGACAACTGAATGATTATAGTGAAACAGTTAATTTACAGTTAGATCTCAGCATCGAATATTATAGAATATTATAAACAGTTTGTTCTCTCATTTCCATCTCGTCAATTTCACTTTCACTAACTGACATTATTAAATCAGTTTAATCTACCTTCCTTTAACTTCCACAAACTTAGGTTAAGAATACGCGAGTATCAACAGGAACAAGTAAGATCAACAATTAAAATTGGTCAACTGATCAGCTGATCAGCTGATTAGTTGACGTTCGAAGCATTACAATTGTACTTCTTTTCTCTCAATACTTGAACCTCATTGGTCCGTTACCTGTGTTGATATGAGAAAAACTATGCTGATATGAAATGAAACTATGCTGATATGAAAGTAAACAGCTGTTAAGGGAAACTTTTCAATTTTAAGAACTGAACTGAAATGGCTACTTAAAAACGGTCGTAGGTAAATGGATAATTCGTGTCTCGAATAGTGAAAGGCAAGTTAGCTAAACAAGATCTATTTTGAATCAATAGGCCCACCTCAGACAATAGACACGAACAAATCTACAAAAAGAAAAAGTATATAAATGCTGTACCACACAGTAACCTCTAAAGAAATGACAAAAATACTCTAAAACCTGAATTTTATTAGTATTCACTTGACGCAACGCATTATTTTCAGTTGGTTTTACAATTCCACAACAAATTAGTTACGACAGACTGGGAAGACCGCGAGAATGGTCACTGGCGTACAAACTACCTTGTTAGGAAATAAAACCGAACCGGTTCAAATATGAGGGATAAATATAGCAAAGTCGCTTTAGGACAGTCAAGGCTAAGTGTTCAAGCGAGCACGAGGATGTTGGTTGATCAATGCCAAGGTGTGATTAACAAGTTGCTTGTTATCCCATTGTAAAAACTGGAGCTGGCTTTGTTTGATGTGTGTTTTATCACAGAAAACGTACTACTATAACCCAGAATGCCAACCGCAAACCGCATGGTAAAAAGCATTAAGCGTTTTGAGAGAGCATTGCCTGTTAATCCGTAGGCAGCGCCACCAGCGTTGCTATGCTATTGCATGGCAACAGTACGTTTTCTGTGGTTTTATGCATGTACGGTTACGCTTGAGCATAACTTTGAGCATTGAGTGAACTGTAAACTTATTCTTGTTCTCGCCTTCTATGGTAAGTTTTACAGGGCGGGCTCGACGCTATCGTTACAGTACCTCTATCGGCAATGATTATGCAATGGTTTATGATCAAATAGTTTTATATGGTTTATGTAGTGTTATTGGTAAAATAGCAAAAAGAATTTGAAGGAAATATCAAGATGTAGGTACTGAAAATACAACAGCACAGGATAAAACTTTGCTCTGTGACACTAGGGAGAAAATTGGTCAAGAGTTAATTAATTGTCTTCAGCTGATTCCAAATTATGACTGGTGGTAATGGTAATGGGTGACATTAGTAAATGAACTTCACTTTTAAGCCATGTGTATTGAAGGCGTAATCACAAAAACACAGAACTACTGCAGACCAAAAGTAAACACGGCTTTACAGTGGTAAGCAGTAGTGGTGAACCCACAATATGACCTCACTTTCGGCGTTTTAGAGGCACTTTTAGGGCACTTTTTATAGGGGAAAAATGAGAAAAAAATGGAAGAGCTTTTTTTGGCCACTTTTTTAAAGACCCAGCTCTCGACCTATACACCCCTATATAAATTTTCTACTTTTTTAATACTGAAAAACACGTCTGGAATATGGCTCATTTTTTTGGCCACTTTTTTAAAGACCCGGCTCTCGGCACGCGAACTCGGGTGCGCTCCCAGCTTATGATGTGCTCCCTTGGACATCCTTAGTGGAAATCCATGAGTTCTGGCTACTTGGAAACCCAAGCCATTTGACATACAACGAATCACCCTTTCTCCTAATTATCTTCTCTACCAAATACATGTCCTTATACTTGGTCTTTAACAACTCCTCTGTATAGAAGCCTCCTCTGATTATATTACCATTTTCATCTTTCAAGATATAAGTTACAGGCTTTGTATTCTTAACTTCTGCTATTGTAAATAGTTCCCCTGTCCAATTTGGAGTATAACCTTTACTAAAAACATGTTTATACTTGGAAATCCTTACGCTATCACCTACCTTATATCTTGGTTTTTTAACTTGCACTACTTTAGAAGTCAACCTCTCATGCACATATTTACTATTCTTAACAT